TATATACTCAAGTGTACTAGTTATGGATCTAATTACTTTATAATTCACTAGGATCACATTGTATGCGGGAAACGTATTTATACGTTCTACCAGTGTAGTAGAGCGCAGGACACGTATTAATACGTTTTTTATAGACTAGCGGTAGAATGCGGGTAGCGCATAAATAGGTAAACTAAAGTTATATCAAAGCTTTTTTGCCTGATTTTCAAGGTCCTGGTGCCACTTTCTTACAAGTGAGCTTGTAACTTGGCACCCACAGCATTCACTTTTTCTTTTTTTAAAAGTGTATTTTATTGATTTTTTTACAGAGAAGAAGGGAGAGAAATAGAGAGTTAGAAACATTGATGAGAGAGAAACATCGATCAGCTGCCTCCTGCACACCCCCTACTGGGGATGTGCCCGCAACCAAGGTACATGCCCTTGACCGGAATCGAACCTGGGACCTTTCAGTCCGCAGGCTGACGCTCTATCCACTGAGCCAGACCGGTTAGGGTGCCATCTTTTTCTTAAGCCACATTGGTGTTGGGCTCCAACAGAAATGAAAGTTGAGAATCGAACATCTACTTTTAGGATATAAATATTACCCCAATAGGACAGGTACCTTGGTTTCCTGGACATAAACAGGTTCTGTTTTATTTTGTAAAGACCCACATCTTCCTTAAAAGGATTCAGTGGGCTGTCGTTTCACATTGAAAATACTGTTGGCAGGAGCACACGACTCAGTGGGTTTTGGGTTCAGAACCACATCCTGAAAATAATAAAGGTTGTGCATGCAAACGAGCCCAGCCGTGTCTGGGTGTTTTTCTTTGGAATTTGACACTGAAATAAAAGTAATTTTGCACAGTCTGTAACGGTTGGAGTCTTTTCATGGATAGCATATAATAGAATTGATATTCATGGAGTTCTGAGTATTTCAAAGAAAAAGCTGGTGTCTATCTTGCCAAGTAGTGTTGCTCATTTATTATCATTTTTTTTATTTCAGTCGAAAGAAAAAGACTAGGAATGCGTAATTAACTTGACATGGATGATCCTGGGCTGAGCATTTCGGTACCAACACCATTTTGGTACCAACACCATTTTAAGGCCATTAGGGAAGTTCTTTGTCCTCAAATATACGGCTTGCCACGGCTATAGCCGCTGAGACAAGACTATTGCATTTTGGCCCTGCCTCCAGTGAGCTGTGTGATCAATCACTCAACTAATACCATTAACGCTTAGAGCAGAAATTCTCACCCTCAGCCTTTTTGGGTTAAGAAAGATGTAGGTTAGACGTAAATGCTGAGCTGTTCTACTGGTTCTTGGGTTATTTTTGGAACGGCCTGGCAAGTCTCTCTGACCCTGCACTCTATTTTTTATGTGTAAACGCTTCAGAAATCCCCATCACCATGGCAGCCAATCCCTGCCTCTGACAAGGATTTTTTTTTAAGTTCTTTTACGGGAATAGTTGAGCTGTCCTCAATGCCTCCGTTCCTCAGACCACTGACAGCAAGAGTTCCTCCACGTATTCAAAAGGCAAGGCTTTCCTGGCACGGCTTTGCCCAATGATCCTCCTTGGAGTGAAAAACACTCTCGAGCTAGATACCTAGAACGTTATCCTTGGCTGTTCTGTTCTTCAAGGCTGAGGTCTGAGATTCAAAATGGATTGTATTGTCGCAGGGTGTTACCATCCGTGCTTCCTCAACCAATATGTGCTAAAACCCTGTCCAGCTGTGGAAAGAAGAGATTTCAAGAACAGGCCTGTCTTGGAGAGGGTTGCTTTAGGAGCGGAGGGGACAGAGCAAGTTCTGCGCAGGGTATGAAGCCACAGCCCTCCAGTGCCAAACGCACGCTCCTGGACCCCGCTTTGTCATGCTGGGCTGGGCCTCCACAGGCCAGATTTCCCCTTTCCCGGCTGGCTTCCCCCAGGTTTTGAAATAAGGGACTCCGCAGGGGCAGGGGGAGCAGGAGAAGGGGTGAATTCTTTTCATTTGCTTGGTGCTCCTGGCATAGCAGCTCCGCAATGGGTTCTCAACAGTCGGTTTCAGCCTCACTGTTCCCTTAAGTGCTCCGGAACCAGCCCCATCAGGACCCCCAGAGGGAGCAGCCACGCCTGGCAGGGCCCCCGCTCAGAGGCCCGCGTCCCGCTTTCTAGGGCACTTCCTCCAAGCTCTGGGTCTGCTACCCCAGCCTCTTCCTTGTTCTCTCAACCCCAGTGGGAGCTGCTTCCTGGGTCATTATTTCTGGGTGACCTCAGCGAATGACCTTCTCCCTCATTCAGCCCTCCAGCGCTGGTGTAACCAATACTCCTACACTAATTCTCTATGATACAGTTCCTATTCCTATTGTC